AAAAAAAAAAAGGAATAGATCCATGGGCTGAAGATTGTTCTGGTATTTGACCTTTACAAGGGACCCTAAAAAAATTTACCGTATTTGTTCTTTCCTTTCTCTCCTTTTCCTTTGTGGGAATAGGAAAGATTTGGGGAAGGAAACAGGGTCCTGGAGCCCTTTAAGAACCCAAGAGCACTTCTCCCAGAAAATAGCACGTAGACATGATTGTTTTGCAGATGACTTTAGGAATTTCCTAATGTCTCCTCCAGATGTGCTCTAGTTCTGTGTTTATTGTAAGATTCTCATCCGTGGCTTTCAGACTTTTTTTCACTGCCACCAAAAATAATAATGTGACCTAGAAAACGCACACACACACACACACACACACACGCACACAGCCTCCATCCATGGACACAGAACACAGTGATGCACTCAGCAACACTCACTTTTACTCTAGGGGTTTTACTCTGGTCTTTTCTATTTTTCTCTCATTTAAGAAGATGTGGGTTTTGTTTTTGTTGTTGTTTTTTGACTCACTGAATTGCTCTCCATAACAGGTTGTGTTTTTCTTTCCTAGACCCTCCTTTGGAGCAAAACAAATGAGCTGGTGCACGAATACGCATGGGTCCAGCGGGAGTTCTTCACCCTGGAGAACACACTGCTGGGCTACATGGCGGACGGCCTCAGGTGGTGTGGAGACCCAGGCTCTCCTGGTGAGGGTCTGGGCTGTTTGGCATTACAGGGAGTGCAGGGCGAAGGAGCCCTGGGCTCTGCCAGGGGCATCGGTGTGGTGGGAGGAGCCACAGGTACCTGCCCTGATGCCATCTACACACTTAGCGATCATTCAGGTTCCCGTAAAACAGCGTTCCTTAGATCAACTCAGCGTTCTAGAAAAGAACTGATTTGCGAGGTTGGGCCCGTCTGTGCTCCCTGATCTGCCCACTCTGAGAGCAGGGGTAGCCTGCTTCTGAACTGGAGGTGTTTGCTCTCTGTGAGGGCATTATTCAGGACTAGAGAATGGCAGAGCAGGCTGAGGCCCGAGAGGGAGCCAGGCCACAGCCCTTGTTCCACGGAATGGCCACGGCAGCAGGTGGATGGGCTCCTCTGCGTCTCAGGCCAGTGCATGGCTCTGCTGTCATTGTTCAGAGGTCGCCTTATCTTGCCCAGAAAGACCCAGAATGCCTCACTGTGGGGAGGTGCTTTGTACCCAGAAAACTCTATCGAGCCCGTTTTCACTTCTTTGTGTTTTTCTTTCTCTTTTTATTTATACGGTGGATATTTTTACTTTATGTTGTTTTATTCTTTTTTTTTTTAATGTTTATTTATTTTTGGGAGAGAGAGGGAAGGAGAGAGAGAGACAGAGGGCGAGCAGGGGAGGGGCAGAGAGAGAGAGGGAGACACAGGATCCGAAGCAGGCTCCGGGCTCCGAGCTGACGGCACAGAGCCCGACATGAACTCACAGACCAGAGCACAAGATCATGACCTGAGCCAAGTTCGACCCTTACCTGACTGAGCCACCCAGATGCCCCATTTATATTATTTTGTTCTTATTTTTATTGCTTTTGACTGTTTTAAAAAAACTTATTATGGTAGCTTCTTCTTCCCAGGTTTACATTATTTCCAATTATAAAAAGGCTGCATGCTTATTTGCCAAGTACAGAAGTGTTTAAAAAGAGTGAAGGTCACCTTGCACCTTCTCCAGTCCTCCATTTCCATGTTATTTCCCGAAGGGGACTGTCGTCAACAGTTCGGTAAGAATCCTTCCACACGTGGCCCCGTGCTCACATAAACACATGTGTTAAAACGTATGCATACACAATCTGCAACTTTGCTTTATTCGTTTAGAATTAGTAGATAGAAATTACAGCCATATTTTTTCAAAAGCCCTCATGTATCTCCTCTGGGGATGGTACCATAATTTATTTAACCCAATCTCCAGTTGATGGACATTTAGGTTGTTTTTAGATGTTGTTGCTTAGCAACTGTTGCTTCTGTGCACAACAGACACTCACATGCTTACACACACCCACACTGGCACACACCCAGGGCTCACGTACAGCTGCGTGCTTGTGGAAGCACTTTGGAAAGATATGTTTCTACAAATGAGATTTCGGTGCTGAATACACTGTGGTAGAAACAGATACATTTGTCATTCAAAAGGAGGTCACCATTTATACTCTCATCAGAATCTGTGACATTACTTATTCACCCATACCCTTGCCAACACTGGATGTTCGCACTTATGAAAATGCTCTTGCCAATTTGATAAAGAAATAATACCTCGGCTTATTTTTCACTTCTTTGGTTGCGAGGCCAACCGTGTTTATATATTTCATGGTAGATATTTCTATTTCTTTTATAAACTGGCTGTTCATATATCTTGATGATTTTTATTGGATGCCTGTTCATATATCTTGACTATTTTTGTTAGTTCTATATAAATTGATAGTAGTAGCTAGTACTTATTGGGTACTTACAAAATCCCAGCCTTTGTGCTACATGCTATGTGAGTATCCACTCAGTGAGTCCTTCCTTACAGCCCCAGGAGGTCCCGTGATGATCCTATTTTACAGATGAGAAGCTTGAGGCTGAGGGCTGTTACAGGATTTTCCCGTTAGTAAGTGCTCCCTCAGCACTAATTCCCTGAGTTAGTAAGTGGCAGGGTTGGGAGCGAACCCAGGTTTCCTGGCTGGAGCCCTTGTGTCTTAACTGTGTGTCATCTCACCTCTTCTCTGGCATACTGGTGGAAAGCCTATTTTTGCCAGTTTGTATTTTTCTTTTAATGCTGTTTGTATTCTGTCTTCTGCTGTGCAGAAAGGCAGTGAATCTGCCGACCCTTTCCTATTTGGCGGCTGGGCTTCAAGTCGAGGTTAGATTTTCTTCTGTCTAGATTGGGGAATCTTCCATATTTTTTATGTAGTATCTTTATTTTTGTAATTTTAAAATCAGTCTTTAATCCAGAGTCTTTCCACCCAGAAATATGGCAAATTCTGCTTTTTTAATGTACTTAATTTAATTTCTCTTACTTTGTTGTGAAACTTCCTTCCTTTCTTTTAACTCTTGACTTTAAAACTTTATTTAATGGTATGTTTGCATCATGGAAGGTAGCAAGGGGGAGACATCCGTGTGTGGAAAGAGGAAGTGAAAACCCAGGGCACTTCTCAGATGTCATTGTGAAGACGAAAAAGTTTGAGCTCTTGAAAACCTATGAACAGTAGCACCTTTGGAGAGCCGTACAAAATGTGTGTTCGTTCCATTATCATCAACATTTTTGCCCCTGTTGGGAGATGATTCAAATTTAATTTTGAATGATAATTTAGTAATTATTTACATCCATGCATGGAAATGTTTCCTTTTTTATTTGTGTGATTTTGTTTTTAAAGCATACTCCCCCCCCCCCCCTTATTGCTTATTCTTGAGAGAGAGAGAGAGAGAGAGAGGGAGAGTGTGCGCGCACGAGCTCGGCTAGGGGTGGGGCAGAGAGAGAGGGAGACACAGAATCCGAAGCAGGCTCCAGGCTCCGAGCTGGCAGCACAGAGCCTAATGCAGGGCTTCAACTCAGGAACCATGAGATCATGACATAAGCCAAAGTCAGATGCTTAACCAAGTGAGCCACACAGGCACCCCCACGCATGTACTGCCCCTTCTAAAAAGGATACCACTCGGGGCGCCAGAGTGACTCAATCAGTTCAGCATGCCGACTTTGGCTCAGGTCATGATCTCATGGTTCACGAGCCTGAGCCCTGCATTGGCCTCTGTGCTGATTGCTCGGAGCCTGGAGCCTGCTTCGGATACTGTGTCTCCCTCTCTCTCTGCTTCTGCCCCCCACCCCCACCCCCGTACTCTGTCTCTATCTCAAAA